AAGAATGAAGAGAAGAAGAAGTTGTTGCCCCCAGGAAAGAAACCCATTTAGGGTTTTTAAATTTTCAAACTATTTCCAAACATTGCAGTCCAAGCCCTTGAGATAATTGCACACTAGGTCTCTCAACTTTTATCTTATACAATTTGGTCATCAGATTATGCCCTTCATAAATTGCATCTAAGATCCTTCAATTTTATGCTATGTTCACTTTCGTCCTCAAATTTATAATTTTGCACACTTTTAGTCCATTTTTCCTCATTTTGTCTTGTTCTTTTTTCTTTGGGTGATCTTTACCTACAAAAACAATAAGTACATAATTGTGAGTAAAAATTCGCTCTTTTTTTATCAATAATAAACATATTTAGGTATCAAATAAGTGTGCAAAAACACACTTATCAGTAAACTCATGGTCCACTTCCATTTTGTCAAAGGTTGCTCCGAATATAATATTGACCGAGCTTCCATTATCCACCAACATTCATTTGAGGCCATTTCGTGTCACAACGACCCTTACTACTAGGGCATCGCAATGTGGATAATGCAAGCCAACTCATTGTCTTGTGTAAAAGTAATGGGTTGAACCCCTCTCCTAGATGAGAGTAGGCTATTGTTGACTATGAAGCTTGCCATAGGAAAATCCCTGGCTTCTCTTGCATAGTTTCTTTGGGGCATTCTTGGTTTCTCCTGCAACATACGGGCCTCAGAAAATTATGTCAATTTCTCGAATAGGTTTCGTGATCATTGTTAGCTGGATGGCTTCTCCTTTGCCTTTGGCATTTCCTAGGCCTTTCTCCATCACGTTCTTGTCTCAAAGGAGCATCATCCCGAACTGGACACCTGGCCTCGGCCCTTCTGGGATGTCAATCTTGCCTTTGAGGTGTGTCTCATGGGTGTCTGCTACTTCTTTGATTATTACGTTGTGGATGTAAGGCAATGTCCCTACAATCAGTTGTATTATGGTTGTAGGTGTGATGTTAAGTGCAATAGAGGGGTGTCACATCCGTATTCCTAGGTTCAGAATTTCGCCCTCTACCCCTTTCCCTTTAGGGAAATCGTTGGCTAGACCTTTCTTGGGGTGCTTCAACAGTAGGGTTGACTTTCTCATAAACCAAATCTGGCACTACATTCAACTTTGTTGTAGCCAGGACTTGCCACTAGGTTGAGGGTGGTTGAATGTCCAACCTGGTGTTCCATCAAGTGGGATTTAGGATATCTACATCATTGCCTCTGAGGAGGTGGCAGTCCTCGGTTGGCCCTATTGTGATGATATTTCAATTCTTCATTAAAGATCTTGCGCCTCATAATTTCAAGTAAGGCGTTATAACTAGATGGATCCTTGTTTTGTACGTTCCTCCAAAAGAAGAAATTCATATCTAGCCCCCCCAGCCCCCTTAAGGCTGATAGGGCTTCCCTATCGGTAACTTGCACACAATAGGTCATCTCATCAGTGAAACGAGATAACAAGCTCTTCAGTGATTCCTGCCTCATGTCCTGAAGGTGTTGTATTGGTCCTTCGCGTTCCTTGATAATCGCGAAGCGTTTAAGGAAAGCCTTCTTGAAATCGGCCAACTTCTGATACTTCCTTCTAGAAGCCCAGTGTACCACACTTCAACTGCTCCACTTAGGTTAAGTGAAAATCTCTACATTTCATAGCAGGAGTGGAACCCTTTAGGCTTATGTGGGTTTTGAAGCTATCGAGGTGCTTCTTGGATTGCCTTTTCAATCATACTTGAGAATGTTAGGAAGTATGAAGTGGCTTGGGACAAGGGCGTCCCTAATTCCCTAAGAGAACGACGAGTTGTCATCATCGTCATCAAGGTCACAAGACCTTTGTGGTTCGTCAGAGTCTTTGATAAGTACGTTTTATATACTTATTTTACTGTCAAAACATGAGCAATTGTTGATTAATATGTTGGAATATAGCTTAATTCTATACAATTCATGTTTTGCAGGACAAGTGATGAATGTAGCGGAAATAAGGAGAAACAAGTGAAAAATGA